CTCGAGCTCTTCCCAACTTCCAATAGTATTTTCTGGGAGGCTTTTGAGCCAATGCCGAGCTGGCCCTTTGAGCTTGAGGGGTAGATATTTTATGGCGTGGAGATCATCTCCTCTAGCCATGTGTATGTGCAGGATGTAATCCTCAATCCAGACTCCGGGGTCTGTTGTTCCGTCGTATGCCTCTATGTTTACGGGCTTGAATCCCGCCGGAAATTCATGATCCAGCACCTCGTCGGTGAAACATAGTGGGGGTGCGGCACCCCTGTATTTAGGCGTGCCATTATCTTCGAACATACGGCGTGTTGTGTTGCTTCCTGGGGCCCTCTTTTTTGGCCCATAGATGGACCTGACCGGACCATCCGTTTTGCGAGGATATTTATATGTGTCATGTGCTGGCTTATGTGCGGCGCCGCTTGCCGCTCCTGGCCTGTCATCTGGTCGTCTATCCGGCCAGGCGTCCTCTTTGCTTTTTGCCTGTGGGGGCTCTATGGCCTCCTCGTCGAATTCTGGCAGCAGCTTGTGCTTCGGGTAACTCTTTGTTTGGTGGCCATTGCCATATTTGTCCGCGGTCTTGAGTACTTTGCTCCACCTCATCCTGAGTATGTCTTCCACTGTTTTGAGCTTCCGTTTTTCCTTCTTCAAGCTTCTTGCGGTGGCGACAAGCCTTTTATGGAGGTTCTTGCGCTCCGGTGGTGTGTCCGGCGTGAGATCGTCTGGACTGTTATTTTCGCCGAGGATGAGCTGGTCATCCGGTTCATCCTGTTCTGATGGCTGCTTGGTTGCGTGCTCGTCGCCTATTGGTTTGCCCTGCTCTATGGCTGGGTCACTATGGGTACTGTTGTCATCGAGGCGGGACTTGGGGCGGCGCTTGCGTCGCCGTTTTGGTTGTTTTTCGGATGAATTATCCTTCGCCGTGTCCCGTTGTTCCTCGTTATCGCTCCCCTTCGGAGTGTCCACCATGCATACATCATGAGTTGAGGTGGCCTTCCAATGCCCCGTAGGCGCTGGTTCTTGATCGTCTCCGGCGTCGTCGTCCATACCGTCGATGTCTTCGGAGTCGTAGTCTAGCATGTCGGTTAGATTGTCGACAGTGGCTATAAAGTGGGTGGTGGGTGGGCTTCGAATTTCTTCGTCGTCCGCATCCCAACCATCCTGACCGCAGTCCGGCCAGGGCTCTCCTGATAACGAGAGATAATTTAGCGAATTCAGGATGTCGCCCAAGGGTGAGTGCTGAAAGATGTCCGTAGCGGTGAACTCCATGATCGGCGCCCAATCGGATTCGATTGGCAGGGGCGCCGGAGGCTCGGAGTCCGGCAAGGAGTCCGGCACCTCGGAGTCACAAGCTTTGCGAGGGACAAGGTCGGTATTCGGCTCTATCGCCGTAGAAGTTGCAGCCCCCGAGGCGGTGTCCAGCCACCTGTCCTCGATCTGCGTGGTCGGCTCCGAACTATGGGTCAGAGCGGACTCGTGTGCGGCCTCCAGGGTACTGTCCGGCGGCAGAGCTAGATCATGCCCATCGTGACAGTGTGGCACGCTCGGCTGTGGCTCGACTCCATCGAAGATCAAGTCTCCGCAGATGTTAGCCGTGAAGTTTAGGCTTCCAAACCTGACCTGATGGCCAGGGGCGTAGCTTTCGATCTGCTCCAGATGGCCAAGTGAATTGGCCTGCAGTGCAAAGCTGCCGAACACGAAGATATGTCCGGGGAGGAAAGTCTCACCCTGGACGGCGTTGTTGTTGATTGAAGAAGCCATCAAGCCTATCGGTGACGACACAGAGGAACTCTCAATGAAAGCACCAATGTCGGTGTCAAAAACGGTGGATCTCGGGTAGGGGGTCCCGAACTGTGCGTCTAGGCGGATGGTAACAGGAGACAAAGGACAGGATGTTTTTACCCAGGTTCGGGCCCTCTCGATGGAGGTAAAACCCTACTCCTGCTTGATTGATATTGATGATATGGGTAGTACAAGAGTGGATCTACCACGAGATCGAGGCTAAACCCTAGAAGCTAGCCTATGGTATGATTGTTGTAATGGTTGTGTGTCCTACGGACTAAACCGTCCGGTTTATATAGACACCGGAGAGGGCTAGGGTTACACAGAGTTGGTTACAATGGTAGGAGATCTACATATCCGTATCACCAAGCTTGCCTTCCACTCCAAGGAAAGTCCCATCCGGACATGGGACGAAGTCTTCAATCTTGTATCTTCATAGTCTTGGAGTCCGGCCGATGATGATAGTCCGGCTATCCGGACACCCCCTAGTCCAGGACTCCCTCAGTAGCTATGACTCTACTTTAAGAACGACTTAAGATTCCTCGACCGTTGCAGCTCCCACGTCGTCCTTTCACCTCCCTTGTCTGAGTGACGGTGGTTGTGCCGAATGAAGACTGATTGTCGTGTGACGTCAAGGTGTCCGAGTGGACCTCCTGCTATACGCATCGGAATGCGACCATGGTCCCGAGACCTACCAATGATGGTGTGGGGCCATAGGTGGACCCCATATGACAGGTCGTTGACCCTACCTGTAGCAGGTGACCTCATCAGCACGTACCATGACGACGTCTAGGGTGGTGTCGGTGTCAAAATCGACGGATCTCGGGTAGGGGGTCCCGAACTGTGCGTCTAGGCAGATGGTAACAGGAGACAAGGGACACGATGTTTTTACCCAGGTCCGGGCCCTCTCAATGGAGGTAAAACCCTACTCCTGCTTGATTGATATTGATGATATGGGTAGTACAAGAGTGGATCTACCATGAGATCAAGGAGGCTAAACCCTAGAAGCTAGCCTATGGTATGATTGTTGTAATGGTTGTGTGTCCTACGGACTAAACCCTCCGGTTTATATAGACACCGGAGAGGGCTAGGGTTACACAGAGTCGGTTACAATGGTAGGAGATCTACATATCCGTATCGCCAAGCTTGCCTTCCACGCCAAGGAAAGTCCTATCCGGACACGGGACGAAGTCTTCAATCTTGTATCTTCATAGTCTTGGAGTCCGGCCGATGATGATAGTCCGGCTATCCGGACACCCCCTAGTCCAGGACTCCCTCAGGAAGCAACCATGTCCGGGGTGGGAGAATGACGGGTAGGAGTTTTGTGGTGCTGGTGGCGGCGCCATGGGGTCGGGACTATGCCGGAGCTAGGGTGGCTGCAGAACTAGGGAAGGGCCAGCACGGACGAGGGAGAAGAGAGGAAAGGAAAAGGGCATGCTGGCTAAATCGGGGGAGATTTGATGGAATTTTGGGCATGCTCGGTATGTCAGGTCTGACATGGTGGACGCGCCCGGGACTCCCCATATCCGCCCCAAGTAAGGGCTGGATATGCGGGGCGCCAGTTAGTCCAGACGTATAGGGACGGTTTGAGGGGCTGGTTGGGTCGTTATTTCTTGACCGACCACTGACCGTGCCTCCGCCTGGATATATAGGGGTAATATAAGGGCCCGACTGTAGATGCTCTTATATGTTGGTTCGCTCACCCTTGGCTCACCTACGTGGGACAAGTTTGCTTCGAGCAGAGAGTCTGCCGATTCTAGTTATGTGTTGGCTCAATCGTGCAATAGGTGGGCTCGGATACAAATGATTGCATATGGGCTTCATGAAAGCGGGTGGGATATTGTTGCATGCATATGAGTTTCATGCAAGTAGGTGTTGTTTTGTAACGTGAGAGCGCCTGATGTACAAGAAAAAAACTTCCTGACAATATCTTTCACACAACATCAAAGGCGATGCATGATTAATCACATTTGCATGTGTGCTAGATTGTTTAACCGTGTATGATGATCATATTTGTACTAGTGTTACTATCAACCAAGTTCAAGAAGTTCACTTGGTTGAAAAAGTTGTTGTACAAACTCAAGCAAACATAAACAAAAAGTACAACAAACCAATGACTAGTCGCCACCCACCTCATCGATGAGTTGTAATGGCATTTATTTTTTGTTGACCTACCCATCAAGTGTCCGTGCATATATATGGTTCCCTTCAACCGTGGTTCATAGTGATTGCATAGCAAGAAGCGGATAAAGAAATATACCCATCCGGTGCACCAACATAAGTTATCTTCGAGTTAGCTGGTCATGATGGATAGTACCTAAGACAATTCCACTCCTTTTTATTTTATTAAGAAGTCATGTTTTAGGAAAATACAGAACATATATTGGGCCACACTGCGCACACTCACACAAATATGTTAGTTAGATTTGGGAGGCATTAGGAAATGATTACCTTATAACACTTTTTGGTCCAGCGTTGCATCTACGCTGCATCATTACCCCGTGATGTTTGGTTGTACATCACCATCAGCATCCGTAAGGGGATGTAGAATCAAGAGCAACTGGAGTTGCCTTGGCTACATGGTTGGTAGTGCGAGAAAACAAAAAGGGAGTCCGCACCGAAGAACCGCTTCTTCTCCTCGTAGCAGACCTGGCATGGGTGAACCACCTTTCACTCAATGAAACTCGAAACTGGTCTCCCCTACAAAAAAAAAGAACTTGAAACTGATCTAGAGTTTGGAGAAAACCTTGTCGAGACTAAATAACTTGGAACCAAATCAAGTGAACTAGTAGATGGCCACATCTTGCATGGGCAGGGGATGCTTGTCCAAATTTATCGGTGGATTATTCTGGGATCAGCCTACACCCATGTCCCTGGCCGCTGGATGCATCGGCTCTGAAAACGGACGGCAGGAGACTTGTCCGTCGAACGGCCAGGATCGGACGAACGATTTCCCTCCTTTAGCCAGTTCTCCAAAAACTTCCGTCATCCCAAACGGCCAACCCGCGCCAAACCCAAACAAATGTTTTCGCTCCCGTCCTCCACGTCACCGATCCGCGGCCTCGCCCTCCCAACCAATCACGCGCCGGCTCCCCTTCTCTTTATAACACGCCACCGCCCCAGCCTCTCCACCATCTCAAACACCCTGCGCTCCCCTCAATCTCTCCAATCTCTCCGCTCCGGCGACCACAGCACCAGCGCGTCCACTCTCCGCCCAGACCCAGAAGATGGCGATTGCCGGCAGCGGGAGGGGCAAGGCGAAGCCCGCGGCCAGCGCCAAGTCCGTGTCCCGGTCTTCCAAGGCCGGCCTCCAGTTCCCCGTCGGCCGCGTCGCCCGGTACCTCAAGGTCGGCAAGTACGCGCAGCGCGTCGGCGCCGGCGCCCCCGTCTACCTCGCCGCCGTCCTCGAGTACCTCGCCGCCGAGGTACGCGTCCCCTCTCTGGCTTCTCCTTTCCCATGTCCTGTCACTCTGTAACTCTGTTCCCCACGCCGCGCGCTTGCTTGCTAGATCAGATCTCAGCGTTTCTTTCTTCCTTCCTCTCTGAATCAGACCCTGGAGCTGGCCGGGAACGCGGCGCGGGACAACAAGAAGAACCGGATCGTGCCGCGCCACATCCAGCTGGCGGTGCGCAACGACGAGGAGCTGAGCAAGCTGCTGGGCTCGGTCACCATCGCCGCCGGCGGGGTGCTGCCCAGCATCCACAGCACGCTCCTCCCCAAGAAGGCCGGCAAGGGCAAGGGCGACATCGGCTCCGCTTCCCAGGAGTTCTAGATTAGATTAGTTTTCTTGTGAATGTTTGGGTTTGGTGCGTCATCGATGTTGGGTGGTGGATCTGGTTGGGATGGATTGCCGCTCGCAATCTGGTTCTCGTTGTTACTGCCTGTGATTTGTCAGTGCTAATCTTCATGAAACCGTAGTTTGATGCCTAACGGGGACTAAAACAGGATGCGTTCGTTGATGGTAAATCATGCTGTGTTGTTTCAGTCTGAATCCAGTTCGAGGTTCAGAGTCCATCTCGCTGTAGCTGTAGCACTGAGGCGGCCACTACGCGTGTCCGGGTCTTCGACTCGTGGCAGCACGGGAGGGCCGATGGTGGGGAGGCGACACTCTCGTTGGTGCAGCTGTAGGTGGTCGGCCATCTCCATCGGTTGTGCGTGACGTGCAGTGATGGATGGCGTACTGCCGTGACTCTAGTCTGATCGGCCCCGTCGGAACTCAAGCACGATCCACAAAAAAAAAATTTTTGGCGAGGGAGAAGCACGATCCACATTGCCCGACTACTGATGCAACCATTAAGACACTTATTTCTATTTAATTAAACTAGCAAAATGGCCCGTGCGTTGCAACAACAACAACAACAACAAAGCCTTTAGTCCCAAGCAAATTGGGGTAGGTTAGAGGTGAAACCCATAAAATCTCGCAACCAACTCATGACTCTGGCACATGGATAGCAAGCTTCCATGCACCCTTGTTCATAGCTAGCTCTTCGGTAATACCCTAATCCTTCAGGTCTCTCTTAACGGACTCCTTCCATGTCAAATTCGGTCTACCTCGCCCTCTCTTGACATTCTCCGCACGCTTTAGCTATCCGCTATGCACTGGAGCTTCTGGAGGCCTGCGCTGGATATGCCCAAACCATCTCAGATGATGTTGGACAAGGTTCTCTTCAATTGATGCTACCCCAACTCTATCTCGTATATCATTATTCCGGACTCGATCCTTCCTCGTATGGCCACACATCCATCTCAACATACGCATCTCCGCCACACCTAACTGTTGAACATGTCGCCTTTTAGTCGGCCAACACTCAACGCCATACAACATTGCGGGTCGAACCGCCGTCCTGTAGAACTTGCCTTTTAACTTTTGTGGCACTCTCTTGTCACAGAGAATGCCAGAAGCTTGGCGCCACTTCATCCATTCGGTTTTGATCCGATGGTTCACATCTTCATCAATACCCCCATCCTCCTGCAGCATTGACCCCAAATACCGAAAGGTGTCCTTCTGAGGTACCACCTGACCATCAAGGCTAACCTCCTCCTCCTCACACCTAGTAGTACTGAAACCGCACATCATGTACTTGGTTTTAGTCCTACTAAGCCTAAACCCTTTCGATTTCAAGGTTTGTCTCCATAACTCTAACTTCCTATTTACCCCCGCCCGACTATCGTCAACTAGCACCACATCATCCGCAAAGAGCATACACCATGGGATATCTCCTTGTATATCCCTTGTGACCTCATCCATCACCAATGCAAAAAGATAAGGGCTCAAAGCTGACCCCTGATGCAGTCCTATCTTAATCGGGAAGTCATCAGTGTCGACATCACTTGTTCGAACACTTGTCACAACATTATCGTACATGTCCTTGATGAGGGTAATGTACTTTGCTGGGACTTTGTGTTTCTCCAAGGCCCACCACATGACATTCCGCGGTATCTTATCATAGGCCTTCTCCAAGTCAATGAACACCATATGCAAGTCCTTCTTTTGCTCCCTATATCTCTCCATAAGTTGTCGTACCAAGAAAATGGCTTCCATGGTCGACCTCCCAGGCATGAAACCAAACTGGTTTTTGGTCACGCTTGTCATTCTTCTTAAGCGGTGCTCAATGACTCTCTCCCATAGCTTCATTGTATGGCTCATCAGCTTAATTCCACGGTAATTAGTACAACTCTGAACATCCCCCTTGTTCTTGAAGATTGGTACTAATATACTCCGTCTCCATTCTTCTGGCATCTTGTTTGCCCGAAAAATGAGGTTGAAAAGCTTGGTTAGCCATGCTATCGCTATGTCCCCGAGACCTTTCCACACCTCAATGGGGATACAATCCGGGCCCATCGCCTTGCCTCCCTCCATCATTTTTAAAGCCTCCTTGACCTCAGACTCCTGGATTCGACGCACAAAGCGCATGCTGGTCTCATCAAAAGAGTCGTCCAGTTCAATGGTAGAGCTTTCATTCTCCCCATTGAACAGCTTGTCGAAGTACTCCCGCCATCTATGCTTAATCTCCTCGTCCTTCACCAAGAGTTGGCCTGCTCCGTCCTTGATGCATTTGACTTGGAATATCCCTCGTCTTCCTCTCTCGAATCTTGGCCATCTTATAGATGTCCCTTTCGCCTTCCTTCGTGCCTAACCGTTGGTAGAGGTCCTCATACGCCCGACCCCTTGCTTCACCAACAGCTCGCTTTGCGGCCTTCTTCGCCATCTTGTACTCCTCTATGTTGTGTGCACTCCTATCCAGGTATAGGCATCTGAAGCAATCTTTCTTCTCTTTAATCGCCTTCTGGACATCATCATTCCACTACCAGGTATCCTTATCTTCGCTTCTCCTTCCCCTGGACACTCCAAACTCCTCTGAGGCCACCTTACGAATGCAAGTCGCCATCTTCATCCACACATTGTCCGCATCCCCTCCTTCCTCCCAAGGGCCCTCCTTAATGACCCTCTCCTTGAACGCCTGAGCTACCTCCCCCTTGAGCTTCCACCACTTCGTTCTAGCGACTTTAGCCCGCTTATCCCGCTGGACACGAATCCAAAAGCAGAAGTCAGCAACCACCAGCTTATGCTGGGGTACAACACTCTCTCCAGGTATCACCTTATAGTCTAGGCACGCACGCCTATCTTCCCTTCTCGAGAGGATGAAATCAATCTGGCTAGAGTGTTGGCCACTACTAAAAGTCACCAGATGTGATTCTCTCTTTCTAAAGAGGGTGTTGGCTACAATCATGTTGTAGGCTAGAGCAAAGCTTAAGACATCTTCTCCTTCTTGATTCCTGATGCCATAGCCAAAGCCCCCATGCGCCCCTTCAAAACCTGTGTTAGATGTACCCACGTGGCCATTGAGGTCTCCTCCTATGAAGAGCTTCTCATCAATCGGTACACTCCTAACCATGTCTTCCAGGCCTTCCCAGAACTCCCTCTTGGTGTTCTCATTGTGGCCTACTCGCGGGGCATACGCGCTGATAACATTGAGAACCAAGTCCTCAACTACCAGCTTGACCAGGATAATCCGGTCCCCATGTCTCTTGACGTCTACCACTCCATACTTGAGGCTCTTGTTGATCAAGATGCCTACGCCATTTCTGTTTGCAGCCGTCCCCGTGTACCATAGCTTGAAGCCGGTATCCTCCACCTCCTTCGCCTTCTGTCTTCTCCATTTGGTTTCTTGGATGCAAAGGATATCAACACCTCTCCTCACCGCTGCATCAACTAGCTCCCGAAGCTTCCCTGTCAGAGACCCTACGTTCCAGCTACCTAAGCGAATCCTCCTAGGCTCGGCTAGCTTCCTTACCCTTCGCACTTGTCGAGTCAAATGCGAAGACCCTTGCTCATTTTCCACTACATCCGGGCGCCGATGTAGCGCGCCACTAAGGATGCGACGACCCGATCCTCGCTCACTTGCCACCGTATCCGGATCAAGATACGGCGCGCCACCTGGGGGATGACGGCCCAGCCCTTGCCCATTTTCCACCACACCCGGGTTCCGATGTGGCGCGTCGCTGAGAGGGTTACGCCCCAACGAAAATCTTTTGGGTTTCATCTCCATAAGAGTGGCTGAGTTTTTACGTTGGCTCGCCAAGCCTATCACAACCCTCCTCCTTTACCCGGGCTTGGGACCGGCTATGTTGAGACAACATAGGCGGAGTTGGCCCGTGCGTTGCAACGGGAGAAAAAAATACGACACACTCTTAATTTACAAAAAATGGTCTATAATTTGAGTATTTGTAGCTACGGCCCAAACAAAGATGATCTTTGCCTACAAAAGCGCAAGTTGAAGATTCCACATGTCTTCTATTTAAACAAGGCTTGCATGTAGATTTAATATGTTAGCGAAAACTGAACATTTGATCTTTATTGAACGGAAAGGACTGTATATTGGATCTCTGTTTAACTGAAAAGATTGAACCTTCACTTTTGATCTCTTTTAAGTTTAAAAATTCAGCTGGGCCACAAACCTTCTATAGTTCAGAAATTGAATCTTGAGATATACCCTGTTTTAGTGCAGAAAATGAATTTTAGTGCACAAACTGAATTAGTATAGGAACTGAAAAGACTTAACCTTTACTTTTACGACAGGAGTCGACCAGCGCCTCCTGCTCAGCCTGGTCATCGTACGACACGGTCGTTGTGCCGGCGACAAGTTGTTCCATGTTTGATGAGGAAGCGGAAGTTGTACTCATGGTCGGCCTGCGCCTACCGAATCAAGGCCTCCCACTCGGCCAACACCATTTCGCTGTAGTGAGCACGATCCTAGCCCATGGTGATACCGACATGGACCGGCGAGGAGGGTGACGTCGACTCATCATCAACCATGTCCTCCGTTGGGACGTTTGTACCGCTGGCCTCCGTCTGCCGGCAATCTTCGTCTTTTGCTCGGACGAAAGGATGTCCCAAATGGCTTTGGAGCTCGAGGACACCATGGATGGCATGTTGCGAAGAGGAGGAGGATAGATGCGGCTATGACCGAGGCTTGAGTTTAAATAGCCGATGGATGGCAGGGCAAGCGATGTGGTGGTTAATAGTGGGCGGCAGACGAACGAACGAGCAACGCCGAAGTAGGTTCCTCGACAACCACGCCTGTTTAATATAGGGACGCGGAATGACGGCCTGTAATTTGAACGTGGAGGAGTCGCGTGCACCGGGAAACGGCACGAGCGGCGCTCTCGGCCAACGTCGCTCCA